TGCTAATTTAGCCTCTGCCTGAGGCTACCCAGCAGGAGCTACGGAGAGATCTGCAGATTCCCCTTCCTTTTTTGGGGGTTTGGAGGTGCCCAGATGAGGCCCAGCTGTGAAGCAATGTAAGCTGCTGTGGGGCCTTGGGCCTGCTCTTGGAAGTTCTGGGTCTATCTGGCCCAGCTGCAATTTGTTAGGTAATTTTCAGATTGCAAAGGGTCAGGGCATTCATATGCAAAAGCCTCTGCCGCAGCCTGGGTGGGGCGGGGTTTCAGGGAATCAACAGGGCAGAGCAAGCAGCTATGGCTGATCTTCAGCCCTGCCCTAAGGGGCCCCGTGTCCCAGTGTCCCGGTAATTGCTGCAAGCACCTCTGAGGGAAAGCCGCCCTCAAGTTCCGAGTTCTGCCTGCTGCCAGACAGTCCAGTTTCTCCCCGTATGAGTCCTGGGTCCCCAGAGACTTCCCGGAACTGGAGTTCAGAGCAGTCGGGAGCTTGTGACTCCCTCCCGATTCAAAAAGCCGCGTCCTCAGGTGCCAGCCCCTTTCCGCACGCACTCTTCTGCATCTCTAGGGTCTTCAAATCCCACAAAGGCAAATCCAGGAGGATTTCTTGCAATCCACACAGTTCTTAAGGGGCCATAGTAACTGAAAGCACTTTCCTTTGCCAGCACCTGTTCCCAGGTTACCAACATACACCTTGGTTTCTGTTTAAAAATGCAAACAGAAGAACGGGTGTTATGGAAAACTTGACCCAAGTTAGAATGAATTCTTTGCACACCCTTAAGACCGTGCAAAACATTATTTTGTGCTCTTATCAAGAACTGAACGTGGTCTTAAAGCCAGCAAAGTCGGCACATTTCTGAAGAGCTGGAGGTAGGGCAAAGTTCTTCACGTCCTAGTACGGTGGGAAAACGCCTCGAAAACACGGGAGCAGATGAGCGGTAGGATATTCCGAGCGCGAGGCGGTCCCGCCCCGAGTCCCGGCAGCCTCTTATCTCCTCCGTACCGCCCGTGGCGCGACATGATGGCTGGCCCCCGAGCTCGGCTCGTTCAGCTCGCAGAGCCCAGGATCCAAGTGACACGAGAAGCTGTACAGACCTCGCACACCAACGGTCCCAGCGGCACTACGAGGAAGAGCCTGGGTTCCGGTTTATATAGGCGGCGGCTGGGTCTCTTTGCGCATGCGTCACCTCGGCGTTCTGCGCGGCACAAAGGAGCTGGGCGGAAACACCCGAGCAGCGGCGTGGGGGGGGAGGAGCGCGGGGGGCTGAAGAGCGTAGAGGACCAATCACAAGCGGAGGGATACGTTTCCATGGGAACGTCAGAATCCCGCCAGTCAACCCTTGGCCTTCCCCGCGGTGTCCCGCCCCATCCTTCCCCCTTTCCCGTACCGTCCTCATTTCCCTCCTTCCCTTCTCCCTTCCCCCTTCTATTTTCCCCATTTTTAGGGACCCTCAGCTCCAGTAATGTTGCTACAGGTGCATTAGACCGGCCTCTGAAAGGCTGTAACGGCTGATGTTGCAGCCGCCGCTGCCGTTCTGCTGCGGGGCCTGGCCTAGGCTAATACTCGGTGATCTCTGGGGCTCATCAGAGGTAATCGGGAGTTTGGCCAGGGTGAGAGCGCCAAGAACCAGCTATTTGATTAGTGGTCCCTACATTATAGGCCTCAAAAGGGGTGAAGCCCCTAGGGACCGGGATTGGGGCCATTCTATCCCTGGACAGTCTGGAATTTGCAAACCATTTGCTCCTTAGTGTCCTTGGTTAGGGAAGATAAAACCTTGTGATTCATTAGCTGCCTGTAAATTGCTCAGGTTGTTTGGCCTTGTTTAATTATTTTGTCTCAGTTTCCCTTATTCCACTTGCCAAGGAATCCCCCTTACTATCCTGCCTCAGAGGCAGCCCCGATGCACACGCGCATAGGGGTTTTGTGGGCTAAGTGGTCTTGCCTTCTTCCTAATACCTGAGCTCTAAGTTCCAAATAACTTTCTAGGCCATAAAATTGTACTGAAAGAAGGAAGAACCGAGTCTGTGATAACAATTCCACAAGGTCAAGTAGTGCTTCCCCACAGGAATAGTTTCTCAGCCAGCTGCCTGGGATTGCAGGCATGCCTTGGAGATACTGCAGGTTCAGTTCCAGACCATCGCAGTAAAGTGCATGAGCCAATAATTATTCTACAGTTTTTTTGGTTCCCCAGTATATAAAGAAGTTCTATTTACATGATACTTTAATCTGTTAAGTGTGCAATACCATGTCTCCAATGTCAATGTACCTGCCATAGTTAAAAAAAAAAAAACACCCAAAAACTTTACTGCACGGCCCTGGCTGGGTAGCACAGTTGGTTAGAACATTGTCCCAATACACCAAGGCTACAGGTTCGATCTCCAGTCAGGGCACATACAAGAATCAACAAATGAATGCATAAATAAGTGGAACAACGATAAAACAGATGTTTTTCCCTTCCTCTCTCTAAAATCAATAAATAAAATTTAAAAATACTTTATTGCTTAACAAAAGCTCACCATCATCTGAGCCTTCAGGGAGGTGTTATCGTATTGCTGGTGGAGGGTCTTATCTCCATGTTGATGAAAATGCAAGATCTGCCAAATGCAATAAATTAAAGCCCAATAAACAAAGCATGTCTGTACTCCGAATGGTCTGCAGAACTTTAAGAAAGCATGGCCAGCTGGGCTCTGATAAATGTAGGATTTCCACAAGCCTCCTGGACTCTTCGTTTTTGGTAATGGGAGCAGAAGGAAAAGCTTCCAGTTTTTCACTATGTTTTTACTTATTTAAACCTCATGCAGATGAGGTTTCATGGGGTTCGGTAAATGGGTAATAAGGAGACAGATACAAAGAATTTTTTTCATAATGAATCGATGAGAGAGAGAGGGAAACATCAGTTGTGAGACAGATACATTAATTGGTTGCCTCCCAGGTATGTGCCCTTGACCATGAATTGAACCTGTGATCCTTCAGTGCACAGGCTGATGCTCTAACTGCTGAGCACACCGGCCAGGGTTGAAAAATTTTAATATATTATATATATATATATATATATATATATATATATATATATATATATATATATATATATATATATATATATATATATATATATATACACACACACACACACACACACACACACACACACATACATACACACACATACATACATACACGTAATTGCTTTTTAGAGAGAGAGGAAGGGAGAGAGAGAGGGAGGGAAAGTGAGAGAGAAAGAGAAACATCGATGTGAGAGTGGAACATCAATCAGCTACCTCCGGCACGCCCCCCCATCGGGGATTGAGCCCATAACCCAGGCATGTGACCTGACTAGGAATCGAACCAGCAATCTTTTGGTGCATGGAACAATGCCCAAACCAACTGAGCCACACCGGTCAGGGCAGATGGTTTTAAAATAATATTTGTTTTATTAGTGTAACATGTCTGTCGTTTCCCAGTATACTCTGAACCCTGACATTAGAGAAAGATATGATGTAATGTGATCACAGTAAAAATGTGTTGATAATTTTTACTTGCTACCTCCTGTACGCCCCCCATCGGGGATTGAGCCCATAATATGATGGCATTAATTTTATAAAAAATTTATAAATTTATAAAAAATTAAGTGTTGATAGAGAGTAAATTATTGTTGATTAACTCATAGTATAAATGTTTGGAGATGATAGAATCATATGTTACCTTCTTATAAATGGAGTCTAGGTGTCCAGTGCTATCAGTCTCACTCATCCTACTGTACACACATTTGGGGTGTTCTAGGACTCAGTGTCTTTTGAGGATGTGGCTGTGAACTTCAGTCTGGAGGAGTGGGCCTTACTGGATCCTTCACAGAAGAAACTCTACAGAGAGGTGATGCTGGAAACCTTCAGAAACCTGGTTTCAATAGGTAAGGATGACAAGTTCCCTTCACCTCCTCATTTAGAGGACAAATATTTCTTCTCCTTCAACATTTAGGTGTTTAATGTGGGAAGGGAGGACATTGGTAAATAAACTGGGGATGGTCATAGCTAATTATAGAACTAAAATCTAATAAATTTTCTATCATTTCTAATACTTTGGAATGCTTTCTCTGGGTCTGCATTATAGGTAAAAAATGGGAAGATGTTGATATGGAAGATCAGTATAAAAACCCAGGGAGAAAACAAAGGTGAGTCACACAATAGAAAGCAGGGCCTCACAGCCCTAGCTGGTTTGGCTCAGTGGATAAAGCGTTGGCCTGCGGACCAAAGGGTCCCAGGTTCGATTCCAGTCAAGGGCACGTACCTTGGTTGCAGGTTCCTCCCCAGCCCAGGCCCTGTTCAGGGCACATGCAAGAGGCAATCAATCAATGTGTTTGTCTCACATCAATGTTTCTCTCTGTCTTTTCTGCTCTTTTCCACATTTTCTAAAAGATCAATGGAAAAATATCTTTGGGTGAGGATTAACAAAAAAGAAAAAAAGAAGAAGAAGAAAACAAAAGAACCTCTGCTTCAAATTAATTACTTCCCAGAAATTTTCACCAAATTACTTTCTTATATATGACATAGTGTTCACATTTGCAAACTAGTTCCCATGGAGACAGCATTAATAAACCATATATATGAATGTCACTTTTAATAATTGCAAGGTAAAGTTGTCTTTTAGAGTTTTCAGTGTGTTCTATTTCAAACAATACTGATCAAGCAGAATACTTACAATTTTGCTATAAATTATAAAAATATACTTCAAATATTCTACTAATAAATACATAGCATCACTAATAAATAAATTATTAATAATGTGCTTCTTCCTCCCCCCCCCCACAAGAATTCATATGGTACAGAGGCTCTGTAAAGGAGAAAAAAGTAGTCCGTATGGAGAAAACTTCAGCTTTATTCCCAATATTAATGTGAAGAAGATGTTTCCTTCAGTAAAACCATGGAAATACAGTGTGCGTGGAAGAGTCGTCATGGATCATTCATCCAATAACAGGCACACCGGGTGTCACACTGGACACAAGCCAGCTGAGTATCATAAGTATGGAGAGAAGCCATATAAATGTAACATATGTGGGCGAGCTTTCCGTTATCTTCAGTGTTTTGAAAAACATGAACAAAATCACAACGTTGAGAAACCCTATAAATGTGAGGAATGTGGGAAAACCTTCATGTGGCTCAAAGCCCTCCAAAGACACATGATCACACACACTGTCGATGCTCCTTATAAATGTAAGGTTTGTGGGAAAACCTTTAGTTCTTCAGCTGCGCTGCAAATATGTGAGAGAACCCACACAGGAGAGAAGCCCTATCAATGTAAACACTGTGGGAAAGCCTTCAGATGTTATAAAAGTTTTCAGAGACATGAAAGAAATCACACTGAAGAGAAACCCTATCTATGCCAAAAATGCGGTAAGGCATTCATGTATCCCAGTTACCTTCGAATACACGAAGCAACTCACACTGAAGAGAAACCCTATGAATGTCAGGAATGCGGAAAGGCCTTCCGATCTTACAGTGCCTTACAACCACACAGAAGAACTCACGAAGGAGAGAAACCCTATGAATGTAAGGAATGTGGAAAGGCCTTCAGTAATTACAGGTCCTTACAAATACATGAAAGGTCTCACACTGGAGAGAAACCCTATGAGTGCAAGCATTGTGGTAAAGCATTCAGCGCTCCCAATTACCTTCGAAAACATGAAAGAACTCATATTGCAGAAAAACGGTATAAATGTAAAGAATGTGAAAAAGCCTTTAGATTTTCCAATTCCTTACAAACACATGAAAGGACGCACACAGGAGAGAAACCCTATGGATGTAAAGAATGTGGAAAAGCCTTCAGATCTTCTGGTAACTTACAAACACATGAAAGAACTCACACAGGAGAGAAACCTTACAAATGCAAGGAATGTGAAAAATTCTTCAGATATTCCAGTTCTTTACAAATGCACAAAAGGACTCACAAAGGAGAGGAACCCTATGTATGTAAAAAATGTAGTAAAGCATTCAAATATCCCAGTAATCTTCGAATACATGAAAGAATTCACAGTGGGGAGAGACCCTATGGATGCAAGCAATGTGGAAAGGCCTTTATATCTTACAGTTCCTTACAAACACATGAAAGGACTCACACTGGAGAGAAGCCCTTTGAATGTAAACATTGTGGTAAAGCCTTCATTTCTCGAAAATCCCTTCTAAGACACGTGAAAATGCATACTTGAAATAACATCATATCAGTGTAAGGAATGTGGGGAAGCATTCACTTGCTTGGTTTGCATCAAAGATATAAGAGAATTCCCACTGGAAATAGACACTATGAGTGAAAACAATGTGGTAAAGCCTACATTGAACAGAGTTCCTTACAATGTCATGAAAGAACTCACACTGGAATAAGAACTATGAATGTCAGGTATGCAGAAAAGCCTTTACTTTTAACAAAATCCTTCAAAATCACAAGATGAGAGTGTACTCAGCAGAGAAACTACATCAATGTGAGGCATGTGGGAAAACCTTCAGTCATTTCTCTTCTGAAGACATGAAAGGACTCACTGGGTCAAATCTCTTGAATGTAATTAGTGTGGGAAATGCTTCAATTGGCCCATATCCTTACTTGTAAAACTTCCACCAAAAATATAAAAATGTAAATAATGTAAGAATACCTGATGAAAAGTAATTAATATAACCCTGACTGATGTGGCTCACTTGGTTGGAGTGTCATTCCCATGCACTAAAGGATTGTAGTTTCTATGCCCAGTCAGGGCCCATACCCATGTTTCTGGTTCAATTCCCGGTAGGGGCGTGTAAGGGAGGCAACCGAAGGGATGTGTCTTTCTCATGTCAATGTTTCTGTCCTTCTCCCCCTCTCCCTCCCCCCTCCCTCCCTCTCTCCTCCTCCCTGTCCCCCTCCTCCTCCCTGTCCCCCTCCTTCTCCCTCTCTTTCTCTCTCTCTCTCTCTAAAATCAATTTTAAAAACCCCAGAATATCCCCAGGTGAGAATTAAACAAATTAATTCATATATAATATTGTAGAAAGTTTCAACATTAAAGGGTTGGTAATAAAATTGTAAAATATGTTCATCCAACTTCTTTCTTTTCTTACTAAATAGTGCATCATTGAATACTGGGTTTTTACTGAAGTAGGCACTTGGACAAGGGGGAGGGGAGGTTAGGGGCATTGACCAATTGCATCATAAAAAATCCACCTACAACTTCAGCTGGGCCTCTGCATGTATGGATTCCCAATTATTTACAGAGATTTTAACCCCAATATAAGTGGACTGTGCAGTTCAAACTTACGTTGTTCAAGGGTCAACTGAAATTATTTTCAGAAATGAATACCGATGGGAGATAGTTCTGCGAGTTCTTTCAGCAATAGTACATAACATGATGAGGTAGTGATTTTTTATTAAATCAGTAACATTGTCTTTTTATATTTTGAAGTCTGTTAGATTTATGGGTTAATTCAAGTGTATTTCTAATATGCAATTAGGTTTATTTTTTTAGGATGTTTATTTTTGTATGTATTAAAGGGCCATTGAAAAATGACAGTTTGGTTTAAGTTGATTTTTTCCTACAGGCCTTGTGACAGTTCCTGCATATTCCGGGTCTATTATATATATTCTCCCTTTCTTATTGAATAAGTTTGTTTTTTTTTGGGGGGGGGGCGTAAAAGATCCTACTTTTCCCACTCTTATAAAAAGTTGGAGTAAATTTTGTCTGTCAAGTTTATGAAAGAATAAAGTTTTATGTGACTTATTTTTATTGTTAAACTTTCACATTTTCCTCTTGACCAACATATGGTAAGTAGATGTTGACTTAAGAAGAGAGACCTGCTCCGGCTGGATGTCTCAGTTGGTTGGAGTACCATTCTGTCCACCAAAAGGATTGCAGGTTTGATTCCAGGCAGGAGGCAACTGGTCGATGTTTCTCTCTCATAGCTCTCTCTCTCTCTCTCTCTCTCTCTCTCAAATCAATAAAAACATATCTTCAGATGAGGATTTAAAAAAAAAAGTTCTGTGATAAAACAAAATATCTCAGTTGGAGCTATTCCCTCTTTTGATAGTGGTAGAAAGTAGATTTTTCAGGATTCATTTTCTCTGTGGTTCCATGTTAAAATATACCAATAGCCTCACTTTTATGTGATTTGGAAGGCAGAAGCAAAGAAGTCATTCTGTCAGATATTGGAGCCACCACCATACAGAGGGAGACAGATACATAGTAACTTTGAGGACACCATCTTCCAGCTGATTTTTTGTATTTCTTACCCTCAATCAAGTGTATCTTCAAAACCACCACCAACTCTTTAATTTTCATTTTCTTAGAGGTGTGGTTTTCTCTGATGTCTTCACAAGATCCACATAGAACAGTGATGGCGAACCTTTTGAGCTCGGCGTGTCAGCATTTTGAAAAACCCTAACTTAACTCTGGTGCCATGTCACATATAGAAATTTTTTGATATTTGCAACCATAGTAAAACAAAGATGTATATTTTTGATATTTATTTTATATATTTAAATGCCATTCAACAAAGAAAAATCAACCAAGAAAATGAGTTTGCGTGTCACCTCTGACACGCATGTCATAGGTTCGCCATCACTGACATAGAAGGTCTATCAAGAATGTGGATTAATTTTAAGCCATCTGTGTACACCAGGAAACAGTTTCAGACTTCCATGCTTGCGAGTATTTTCTGGTGCCCCTCTCTTCTGGATTATTAACTTAAGGCCTATTTTGTATAGGAAACAGTTTTATGGTATTAATAGTGCAGGTGAGCCCTGGCTGGCTTGGCTCAGTGGATAGAGCATCGGCCTGCAGACTGAAGGGTCCCAGGTTTGATTCGGGTCAAGAGCACATGCCCGGGTTTCGGGTTCAATCCCCAATTGGGGGCGTGCAGGAGGCAGCCAATCAATGATTCTCATCATTGATATTTCTCTCTCTCCCTTCCTCTCTGAAATCAATTAAAAAATATTTTTACAAATAGTGCTGGTGAGCATATTTTTCTGATTCACCATGACATGTACAGTGGTGCAGTAAAAACCAACATGGAAGTTTATTTCTCCGCTGTGTGTGCAGTGGCTGTCTTGTGAGAATAAGCATCTTCCTCTGGATTATGTCAACACTAGGGGTCCAGTGCACGAATTCATGCCAGGTAGAACTGAGGGTGTTTTCTGCTACTTATAGCTGAATGTCATCTCTCATTTAGTTTTCAGTTACTCTTGATTGCATATGATTACAAGTATGAGCATTTTTTTGGTCAAATGAACATTTTTGTAGTTGTTTCAGAGAAATATTAATATTTTTAAAGCCATTGAATGCTAACAAATATGGTGCTTCCTGTGATGATACATTAACATGTCCCATTATAATAATGGAATTTCAGATAAAGTTTGTAATTTTTAATTCGGTTATTATTATGAGAATTTTATCATGTGCATGCATGTATGTTCAGGTATTTTTCCTCGACGAAAATTTGTTTTATAGTTACAATTTTTGTCATGAAACCAATTTTTTCATTCTTTCTAAAAAATATTTTTATTGGTTTTTAGAGAGTGGAAGGGAGAGAGAGAAAGAGAAACATCGATGTGAGAGGAGACCATCAATCAGCTGTATCCTGTGTACCCCTTACAGGGGATCAAGCCCTGCAGCAATATAGAAAACCCTGCATTCCTGTGATTAACAGTAAAGATTCCCCATAAAGATAAATATACAGACATCACTTTTCTTCATTTTTTAAATTATTGAACATTTTGTATATAGATTATGTAGTCATAACTTTGGACATTGTTGTCTGGGACTTGAACTTTCTCTTGATTTGGGCCACAGATATTTGTGGTGTCTTTTGAAGTTTAATGTCATTTCAGATGATTTTTATTTACCTTTAAAATTTTTAAGTGACAAAGTATTTGGCATTTTGATTTTGCTGCCATGGACACAGAGTGACCCGAGGTATGCACCGTTAAACCATGGAGTCCTCCCATACTGGGAAACACCTACGTTGATCTGCATCATTCTAGCCCATCCTGAGTTTATTCTGTGAGTAGGGTGCTACCTGTGCAAGCCTACTGTATTTCCCACACAGAAATACCAAAAGGAGCTATGGATATTTAGAGGCAGCCATCCAAGGAATAATTGATGTGTGCTGTAGAGAGTGAATTATTTTCAGTAATAGCCTAATTTAGTATAAAGGAGGTATGAGGCCCTAGCACAAAATATGTTTTGGCTCAGTGGATAGAGAGCATCAGCCCGCAGATGGAGAGGTCCCGAGTTGGATTCTGGTCAAGGACACATACCTTTGTTGTAAGCTCTATCCCTGGCCCCGGTTAAGGTGCATGCAGGAGGCAACCAATCGATGTATCTCTCTTACATCGATTGTTTCTCTCTTTCTGTCTCTCCCCCTCCCTTCCACTCTCTAACAATTTGGGACACAAAATAGCTACAAGTTTTTATACAGAGTAAGTAAATTAAAAAAAAATGATGTAAGCTTATGTATGGAAGGGGTTTTATTCAAGCGTTCTTTGTTTCTTATTTTTTGGTGGTAGTATACATTGGTGAAAGCTCACAAGTAACTTAAAATATTGCATATATGTATATTT